ACAAAATGTACACTGCTACAAAATTTCATGATTTTCATCAACTCCAAAATTTGAAAAAATTTTCTCTTGCTACCTAAAATGGGTTCAATTAATTCAGTATTTGGTTTAATTAATCGGTTTAATTAATTCAGTATTTGGTTTAGTACTAAATCTGAAACCAAGGCACTACACTAATGCAACATATCATTTAAAGTGTCAGTCAAGATTTTATTTCATTTAAACCAACTATGTTTTGTACTTACTAAAATCTCTTTATGTGCTTTACGAGAATTTTCCAATCCCTGATGTATAGTATCTATTATGTCCAGTTGATCCTCGGTTAACTCCATATATAGATCATCTTCGATACTACTACATGTGGATTCAGGATTCATCACCACGGGCACTGGGGAAGCTTCTTTTTTTTTCCTGGCCTTTCTCACCAAAGGTTTGCGTGTTTCCAATCTTTTGTCATCCCATACCCCTGGAAGTAAAGGCAAATAAAAACAGAGATGTTCATTGATGTTGCTGGTAAGCACTATGTGTGCAGTAGTCTCTTATTTCACATCTTTAATATAAAATTAAAAATATACTGGAAATATTAAAAGACGTCTTGAAGGACTGAAAACTGACAAACTTTGCTTCACAGTGTTTGTTCAATCACAATAATTAGACTATTTGTCAGTACATTTATCTCAGACACAGATCACTGCTATTCAAGTTGCATAGCGCCCCCACACAGTGACACATAGAAATGTTTAATACACAGAGAAGTAGAAAGAACAAGGACATACAGCTATGACAAACTAAGGGAAGTAACTGTAAAACATCTTTTCCACATTTTGTGTTTGATTTCAACATTTTACTCAGCAAATACATAGAAATCACAACTTCTTGAAAATTACCCATGATGTACGTAACATGTGTTTTTCTCACCTTATATGACTCACATGTATATGAATATATGAAAGAACCTTTTTATCATATAAACCAATGTAAATGGCCCAAGAATTGACATTTTTAAAGATGCTGGATGCTTTTTTTGTGTGAAAAGTAGTTCTGTAACTATACATTTTTTTTATCTGGGTTTTCTGAACAGCAGCATTATAGAAAGATAATCCATTGATCTGTTTTAATGCATGGTAGCCACCTAACTCAACAATATTGATATATATATATATAGATAACAAAAAATGGTCAGTACATTCGGTCCAAACCATCGATTGTTGAATAGTGATGTAAAGTGGACAGTCTCATGTATTATACTTGGCCCTTTGAAAAGCACATAAAAAAACAGTATTAACTGGGATCTTCTGTAATGGAATTGCTCATGTTGGCCCTTCCAAATAACTAAAAGATCATCAGTATTTGACACTTACTTTCAGGTTTCATGCCCACTGTCAGACATTTTTGTAGTCTACATGCAGGACAGTGCCTTCTTGTGTATAGATCCATCACACAATTTCCTCCTTCCTCACATGTAAACTTTGCTTTACTTTTAATTTTTCTGCCAAAAAAACTCTTACAGCTTTCACATGACACCACACCATAGTGGAGACCACTGGCTTTATCGCTACAAACCAAACATCGTAGCTGAGAATAGTCTGATGTATACTTGTTCTGAGGTGCCATTGAAGACACAAACTACAGTAGTGAACAGAAAGAGTAATTAATGCCATGCCTCTACATATAAACACACAGGTAAACCAAATTACAATATGTCTACATGTAAACCAAATTACAATATGTCTACATGTAAACCAAATTACAATATGTCTACATGTAAACCAAATTACAATATGTCTACATGTAAACCAAATTACAATATGTCTACATGTAAACCAAATTACAATATGTCTACATGT